GTTTTTACAATACAAATATGGCTTGAATGTCTTTATCTCTTGTATGCTTTATCTCTTTCCAATTGACCTATTATCTTTTTTTGCCAGTGCTGACTGTTTTAATACAATTCATCAGAAATAATTTGCTATGTTAAATCTCGTTTTTCTATTAAGTACATCTTTAGTTCTTTATTCAAATATATGTTTCTTTTTTACTTTGATTTTTTTTACAGTCTTAAACAATATCAAACACCTGAGCTACTATATGAAAATTTGACTGTTGCTCAGCGCGGGAACCTTAATTTTAGCACTTTCTCTTCTTTTTTACAAAGGGGGAACACTGCTAGCATGTTGGGTACCTTGCCGCGGGGACCCAGTTTCATTCATATAATTTATCCTAGTTTTATTTCCTAGAATTTTAGTTTTTATTGTACCTTACCTGTATATTTCCACTTATTGTCTAATAAAAGCGAAAAATTTAGAAAAGTGAAATTCCTAAATTAGTCTTACCGGGAATAGAACCAGAGACTTTCATCTCTAGAGCTCACTGTGCTGATTATTCGAACGCTTCAATTATTTACGTATGTATGAAATATTTATTTATTCTTTTTTAACAGAAGCTACGCTGACGGCCTATAATGGCTACGTTTCGTCCGTACTCAGTTCGGTCTTGTACTATGGGGCAACGAGTAGATTTAGAAATAGTGTTCAAGGTTCAGAAGAAGTGTATTCGAGCGATCTGCGGAGCGTGGTCCGATGATAGCTGCAAACCGTTGTTCAAAAAACTGAACATACTGCCTTTGCCATGCATATTAGAGGCATTTGTGTGTTTGTGAACACTCATCCTCATAGATATTATATTTAAAACACGTGGTGAAGTGATACAAAGGCAAACTAGAGCTAAAATCATGAATCTTTTATACCAACCTCCTTGCCGTTAATTAATTTATACGTAATAACTGCTTCAATATGTGTAATTTAAATTACTACACAGACCTACGTTAGATATTCATAATTTCCAAATACTAATTTATATTAATTTGAAATGCAATTGATTTTAGAAGCCAAAATGTTTAATCAATATTTGCACACCTGCATGCAAGTTGAATATATTGTACTTAATTTTCTGTAACATCAGTATAATTACTGTATTCTGGCAAATAAACGTTTTCTATTCAATTCTATACAGATTACATGCATTAGTCTATCATATTGTTTTATAATACATCTGTTAGTATGTAATTTAAAATGTAAGTAATTTGTCTATGTAATTATCGAGTAATGTGGCATTAAAAAAACGGGGTAGTCTAATGGTTTGACTCATCACCTCTGACTTTCTCGGAATTTATGTGCGAAACTTAATTTGAAAATTTACATGAGCTTTTCGGTGAAGGCAAACATCGTAACGAAACCAGGTTCATCTGCATCAGCAGGTGGATTCAGAACCTTACGATAACTCTGTTGTCGACCGATTCGATTAGATGTCGTACGATTTCTTTTCATTTTTATTCAAAATAACCGAATCGAACGTCAAATTGTCGTATTCGAAACCGGACCGAAATGACGTCACACCCGTATAATTACCCGTACTTCTCGACCGGCAAAGGCTGCAATAGTTATTCAGAAGACAGTTATCGAATGAAAGTTACTGAACGTCCTATTGTTTACAAAGCAAGAATGTAAAATGGAAATCTTTTCTTATTTTAAATAAAGTCTGGATTTTGTTCAATTTTATTAATTTATTTTTATATTGTAAAAGGATTTCATTTTTCTTACAATCTATATTCGCCGACTAACTCCGTAAACGTTGCTGGATAACGATATCGTATCCGAATCGAACGTTTTAACTCGAATGTTCTGAATAGCTCGGAAAGCGCCCTTCGATTCGAGAACGATATCCAACCGAACGATTCGGTTAAGACATTGAAGAGTTTTAATTCGGGGTCCAGGTTTTATAGATTTTTTAACACCGATTCAAAAATCATTGTTGTTAAAAAGATTCATTAAAATATCTGATTCTCAGTAAGTTGCAAAAACGCGTTTGATCTGTACACATTTTTTATGTGTGTGTGTTTGTAAGTAGAGGCTATTTATTTACTTTCCAATTCCTTACCAAAAACTGTAAACTCTGTATGTGTATAAATAAACAAAAAAATTAAATTTCCACATGAATACAATGTTCATTAGGCACCTTGCAGGCAATCATTTCGTAAAATATTTCAATGTTTTCAATGCGACCAACTTCAAAACAATACACGGTCGAAACTAAATTTCATTGAATCAAATGTAGGTGAACTTAATTTCAAAATCCAAATTACAACAATCCACTATTTATATTGTTGCACTAAGAGAATTGAGTGAGTGCAATCTGATAATATAAAATGTAAGACATAATGTTAAGTCATCGCCGTTAATGAGCGACATCCGGTCTGCGCCGGAGTGGCGGGTTTTGCTCTGACACCATGCTACTAAATTGCAGAGGAACGACTCAAGCAATCAATTTGATAGAAACGTTAAGAATGTTAAATACTAACTGAAATTGCAAACACGAAACAAATGTAACTGTACAAGTAGTGTTCGATCATGGAACATGTAGAGACAAATGTTATAGAGAATCTGTATATTTTTTTTAATTTTTCTCCTGTATTTTTTCTGAAAAATATTGCGTAAAATTTCAACCAATTACCAAACACTAGTTACAAGTTGTTTTTTTATCCTAAAATCATTTTAATAGAGTTTAAAATGAACGAGACAAAGAAAAAGTCCTTGTCATAGTGTCACAAGTCATATAGTCTGCTGTATTTTTGCTGCTTTCTGCGTTGTATTATTTATTTTTTATTTAAACACTTTATTGTACTACAAGTAACTTACAAATTTTCAGAAACAATTTAAATATTTGTGTACAAAGGCGAGCTTATCCCATAAAGAGATTTCTTCCAACTAGCCTGTATTATTATCATGCAAATAAAAAATATATTACTATTATTACAGCATATAGAGATGTATTATATTATTTAGGAATTTGATTTGTTTTATTTTTTAAAACAATTTAATATTTTTGTCTAGTATAGAGTTCTTAGGTTTTCGCGATTGTTACAACGTAAGAAATGAAAGTATTTTTAGATCTTTTGACGGTATTTTTTTATATAGCTAATGAATCCAGAGTGAAATTATTTGTCTTTTTTTCAAAAAAAAAGGAGGAGTTTCTCTATTGGATTGTTTTTTTAAAGGGTGTTACGCGATAACTCCGGTTAACCCATTTTCATGATCCACCTTTAAGGGTGCGCACTTTCCGGTAATCGATATCAAAAGAACTTTGCAAATAGATATAATTCCACCAACTTTTGAGGTCGGTTTTTTTATAAAAAGCTTGTGCCTTGTCTAAAGTTGGTTAACTGCACAATTTAACAGACTGTTAAAAACAACGTCCAGTCACGAGTGACCGGTCCGAGGAGTTGCACTCTCACAGACTGATTAATGGTTAGGTAGACTGTAGACGTATTGTACATCGTCTCATTTGACCCACATTATTGAGCAATGATAGGTTTGTATAGGGAAAAGGAAGCTTATTTAGAATTTCTGAACGAGTTATAGGAACAGTTAGGGTATCAACAATTGTGCTAATAAAAATTACGTTAAATATCTAATATATAGTTCAAATAATAAGCTCAATTTGCTTATTGAAGAAGGTTTGCAAGTTTACCGAGATGAGGCTAGCGACATAAGACCAGTCTTAGAAGAAACGCTTCTCAATAATAATGCGTATAAGTGTTAGTAAAATAATATGCCTAATGTAATAATTGACGGTTTTTGCAAATTATAACTTAAAGACAATAAATATTTTACAAATTATTCCACTTTGTTACAATGATTTTATACTTCTGTGATACAATAATAGTAATATTGAAACAAAAAAAAAATTGCAACAAAGACATTTGACCCCAATTTCAGAATAGATTGCCATGTTCTTATTGGATATAGAAAAACAAATCAGTACAGTGGTTTAATGACACCTAAAGTTATGAATTTTAAATCATTTTTTTAAAATTGAATTAGAAATGGTACAAGGTGCATTTTCATTTAGTAGTAACAGACATGCATAAAACATATTTGTCGATGTTTCACGGTCTAAAATTGAAAGTTTGTGACGTAGATAAGGTCGTTGTGTGTTAAGCAATAGAGCTTCGTCATAAAAAAACTTTTCCCCGTAAAGAAACGGACGTTACGAATGAACATATCTGCCAATAAACTATGTTAAACTGTCCATTAAAATGTTACGATAATTTTACGCCGTTGCTATGTCAAGCTCTCATCACACATTTCAGAACAGCTGTAATAAAGGTAAATGCCATGCAGGGGCACGCGTCGCGGAAGCCGAAAGTTTCTCTACTCGTTATAAATATTCAGTCGTATACGTCGCGTCTTCCACTTACGAAATGGTTACAGATCTTGTGAATTGTCTAAACGCCATTGTTCGTAAAATTCTGGCTTACACATTAATTAAATTCTACACCCATATCTTTTGAATCCATAATATAAATCAAATTTACTAGCAAATATAAAAGGGGAAATGCAATATGTTTACAAATGTCAAAGTTTTACGCAACAGAATTGTTTAACGTTTAAGATTTGTGGGTGTGTGTTACGTAATCAATATTTAGCGTGACTCTTACTTTATTTTCTATAAAGATGTTGCAAGAGGCAGCTTCTTTCTGGCAGCGTTATGCAACTCGGGTCACACTGTCCCGGTGTTGCGTCATCGTGTGTCGCCCACACGGAGAAAATACCACTTTCTACCAAACCTAGACACCTGTTTCGCTGCTTCATGTTAATCAAATGTTGAGGAGTCGATCAAACATACATCTGTGGTTTCAAATTAAAAAAAAAATCACAATTTGAATAAGCCCTCTATATGATTTTATAATAACTCGGTTAAAATGTTGGATGCTACATGAGAGAGCGAGGTAGTTATGATTATTTCAATTTTGTAATAAAATAATATTAGGTTTCGTGTTTCGGAGAAAACAAAGAGAGTTTGATTCGTTGGTTTATCGTTTTTTATGCAAAAAAAAGTATTTTTATAATACAACTAAAATTATACATTAAAATTACTATTTACATAAATACATTTAGGCACCGTAATTTTTTGTCTACTTATAACTAGGTTTGTCGCCGGCAGAGCTGGTATCACAAGGGGGCGCGCTTATAGAACAAACGCTCAGTAGGGACCGGACTGGCCGGGGGGGCCGTAGGACGAGCTGACGCCTCCGGAGGAACCACCATGTCCACCGCCAATGCTGCCTCCATGCCCACCGCCAATGCCGCCTCCATGTCCACCGCCAATGCCGCCTCCATGTCCACCACCAAGGCCGCCTCCGAGTCCACCGCCATGGCCTCCTCCGAGTCCTCCACCAATACCCCCTCCAATAGAGCCACCAGCGTCCTTCTGGGTCTTGTATTTGATGAAGTAAACTTCGGGTTTGGAAGGCTGAGTAGGGGCAGCGGTGGGGATGGTGATGTCGGGTTGTTCGTCGGGCTTCTTGACCAAGACATAGACAAGTGTCTTTTCTTCGTTTTGGGCCTGAGCAGGGATGATGGGCGCGACAGGCGCGGGAGGAGCTGGGGCCTTAATGAAGATGATCTTGTAGTGCTTCTGGGCAACGCCGCCTCCACCGATCACCTGAGGGCGGTGTTCTTCAGGTTCTGGGGGTGGGACATGAACGTAGATGTGTTTCTGGACGATGGCAGCGCCGCCACCGAAACCAGAGCCGCCGCCGAAGCCGCCGCCGAATCCACCGCCGAAGCCGCCGCCGCCGCTGGATGAGAAACTACCGGAGGAGAATCCACCTGATCCGCCGCCAATGCCGAAGCTGCTGGATGAGAATCCTCCAGAAGAGAATCCGCCACCACCACCGTGACCACCTCCACCGTGACCACCGCCGCCGTGACCACCGCCGCCACTGGGTGCATTATAGCTGTATCCCGCCTCGGGTCTGGCCGAGCCGAGGGCCGCTACGGCCGCTAGTACCTGCGAGAAATACTTTTTATAACACTTGTATCACATTAACGTTATACCATAAACAATTGCTTGATTTTATTACTTTATTAATAATGTGCAAGTATAAATAAATTGCATTAAATTGTTACCAAAAAATCATCACAATAAATATGAAGAATTGCAATGAAATTGTAAATTTTCTAATAACACGAAAACACTGCGAATCGCCATTGTCGGCAATAAAATCAAGCATTGGACAGATAACAATCCCATAAGGAAGCACGATTGTTGACCGGTCACGGGTGGAGCGCGGGGCACAGGTCACAACACTTTCACTGCACACAGTATACCTACCAAGAACGCTTTCATGTTGTCTTGTGGAGGTCTCGTGGTGGTATGATGTACCGAACACTCGCACGTTGGTTTATATACCGGTGGATCGTCGACGCCTCTCTCCCAGGCTCTTCCTAAGATTCGGCCTTCGGGCCGTACGAGAATTATGATTTTAATGACACCCGTCCAATTCTTCTGTGGTGAAAACAATGTGGATCTCGAATGGTTATCGGTGGACACTTTCACAGTTACGCCTATCTTGATTGAGATATCAATACGCAAATATTGTATTTCTATTGTTTCTCTCAACGATTATATTAAACAAAGTAACCAAATTGGACGTCAATTCGTGTTATGGTAAAATTTTATATTCGTTCAAGTGTAATCATGATACATTATATCATAACGTTATTTAATTCATGAAAGAAAAAGTATGATAAAAGAGAAATGGAATAATAATGTTATTGCCAATTTGTGGCACGTTTTTAATACACTGAATTAACATTTCAGCGTCTTGGAAATTGTTTCTAAAGGAGTTTTCTTTATGATTTCTTTTTTTGATGGCATTATTTCATAATTATTCTTCCTCTGTGTTTTGTAAAACTATAACAACACGATAACCTTTATTTACCTCTGTAATTATGTAAAAATCCCTTCATCTGCACTCTAATAGTAGAGTCTAATATTTCAGAAGAAGTCTTTACCTTTTCTTTTTCAATTCCACCGTTATTATTGACGTGTATAGATAAATAGATCTTTACCTATCTTTGGAAATAAAATAGAATGGTGTCTATTCTCTTCTATAACATCAAATTTTCATCATCATTAAGCAAGCTTATACAATTATATTAACAACAACGTAGTTAACCATAAAATTAAAATCAGTCTGTTAACCATTTAGTTATTATTGGTAACTAGTAAATAGGTGCTCAAATAAACTATAATAGTAATTAGTAAAGAGCGCAATAAGCAGTTATTTATGTGGTTATATAAGATCTCTGGTAAAAATGTGTAATTTTGTGCTGACAGTTTCTCTTTTATACAGGGTACCTATTACGAATAAGTGCGAGTATATTTCAGAGACTAGAATATTTCAGAGACATCGAAAAAGTATTGTTAAATAAATAAATTTTAAGTCCAAAACTAAATAATCCTGCTACCCCATATAATTTTTAATTGACCTAGTGCGTAATAAGGACACAATTATGTTTTATTGCTTGTATATACATATATATAGGAACTGGAAGTAGATTTAAAATAACAATTGTTACTTAGAACTTTAAAAATACGGACCTTAAAAGTTTACTACTCCGTTTTCGCTGTGTTCGTTACATCTATTTGCCAAGTTTTGTTGCAATCAGTTAACGGAAAGTGCGTGAAATCTGATAAACAGGACTTATAACCTGATTTGATACCCTTAAGCGGTAGAATCTTTTTTTTAAATGGGACCACTACTGAGATACTCTTTTTCCAATAAAAAATAATCATCGAAATAGGCTCACAAATATCAGGGAAATCTCGTAACATGCACACAAAAAAATACAGTCAAATTGATAACTTCCTCCTTTTTTGAAGTTGGCTAAGCTAATAAGCAATGCAAACTTCAAATTTAATAAACGATATAGTCACTAGTTGCAGTTATCTTATTACTTAGCATTTACGATTTTCCAGATATTTCAAGAGGTGTATAGTACATAGTTAAGTGCCTAGTTAGGGCCAAACTAACAATTTGATAATTTTCACTTTTGTGTGAGAAATGCTTCATTTAAATACAATCTATAAGAAATAAAACAAAATCAAACATATTCAAGGAAACCTCGAAATACAAGGAAATCTTGAAAATATACCAGATTAAAAGTTTGAAAGCCTCTCCTGTAAACTTGTGATTTTGCCCTTATACATAGGATTCATCGATATATTCCACCGCGGAACACGGGTTTCCTCTAAAGAAAGACGAGTTACTTCGCACGTTTTCAAGGGTAATGAATCTTCTTCGATACAGGTTTCATCACGATATTTTCCTTCACGCTAAGTGTTGCTACTATACATCCACAAATGTAATTTAGAAATCAATTTAATAGATACATACAATTTAATAGATGCTGCAAGGATTAGAATCGCAAACCTCTCGATTATGAAGCAACCGTTTTTCCACTGAGCTAACATCGCTCTTAAACACTATTTACTTAAATAATATTTCGGGAACAGTAAAACACACGCTAAAATGTCAAAAGAGAACTAAAATTATAGTCGCGAAAAGGCTGCACCGATTTGAAACTAAAAACCATTCTAGATTTATTTTGCGGGTATCTATTAAATGAGCATTATTTAGAAGTTTCTACCAAGGTATAACTCCTTATCCGTCTTATCTTATTCGTCTCCTACTTCAGACTGATTTCACATTTTGTGGTCACGGGTAGACTACGTAAGAAACTCCTAACTTAACAATTTTTAGTAAAGAACGACGAAATTCTAAATAAACATATGAAATTCTTAGATTGTCACGATTGTTTAAATGGCGTACATTTGTTTCTTCAAATAAACCAACTGAGATGGTATTTCTAAAACATTTTACAATTATATTTTTGTAGCGTAAATTAAAATATGTTTTTGGTAAATTGAAAACGACGCAGTTAGAATAATTTGTAACTATGGTTCAGAATAGGATAGTTTGTGTTAATATTCGACAACTGTTTGACTTATAAAGAGCCCGAAACGTCGGTTTGGTTGGTTAGTTGCAGTAGAGCTCTATGTGAAAGAGTTCATCCAGGGAAGGAAGAAGGAAACTGCTTTACCTATGTAAATAGTATACTTGATATATTTTATCCTTTGTATTGTAATGTAATATTTCAATGAATAATCATCCAAAATGTGTACACAACTATACACTTAAATCATAGGTTCCCAAACTTGCCTCACTGCCCACTTAGGCAAGATAAAAAAATGTCAACGCCTACCACCACAAAACAAAATTGAAAACACGTATTTTTTATATTAACTTCACACAAAAAATCACATGAGTAAAAATTGTATGTAAGTATCGTAGTTCAGGAAATGAAACAATGGAACCTGTAAAGAGCCCGAAACGTCGGTTTGTTTTAAAAAACAAATATACGCGATTTAAATCCGGAAAAATAGTTTCATATCCTATGTGTAACAATCGCGAAAACCTAAGAACTCGATATCGTAGTTTATATACATAATTCAGGTATTTTTTCAAATGCAGCATGAACCCCCAATTGCTCAACTCTGGGCAACTATGACTTAAATGATTTTTCGTTCATTGTAAGATAGTTAATGTAAAACAAACTTATTGTGGTAACATCACATAAAATCTTAGCGTATTCATTTTAAATACTATAATTAGAAGACACTTTTCGCAACTTCTCATTTTCTAAGTCCTAAGCAGTGGAAATAGACCTTCGCGTAAAAGAGTTCTGCATTGCCTCCATGCCTATTTAAGCCGCCAAGCAGTAATCTAAGCGTTACAGCATTCCGGTTTTGTAGGGTAAGTATGCTAGTGAAATTACAGGTCCCTCCGATCTTTGCGATTTAAAGCTCTGACTAACACAGCCATTGTCATGGGTGGGCGCTTGGCTTACCACAAGACGTAATATTTTAGTACACAAATCATAGTAACTTACAACAATCAAGACCTCGTTGGTTTCGTCGAGGACTAGTTATTTGAAGCTAGATTTACAACTCTTAAAGCTGTTTTTAATAAGAATGCAAATAAAAAAGCTAAAGTCTCGAAAACCTAGAAAAGAAGTTGTTTCTTTAACGAAAGATTTTTTAGCATAATGCCACCTTATCTATTTGTGCCGCCAAGTAGTAATATGAGCATTACTGCGGTTCTAGTGTTGAAGGGTAAGGGTGCTGGTGAAATTACAGGCACATGGGACTTGTAATATTTTGTTTTCTTGTAATAATATCAAGTGACGGGGACGAACAAGTCGCTCGCCTGATTGTAAGCTACACGCCTGTCTATAACAGCTGCAGTGCCACTCAGAGCTTTAAATCGCAAAGATCTGATTGGTACAGCCACTGCGCCCGTCACCCTAAGACATAAGTTGACAAGTCCCATGTACCTGTAATTTCACCAGCACCCTTACCCTTCAAAACCGGAACACAGTAATCCTGATATTACTGCTTGGCGGTAGAAATAGGTAAGGTGGCAGTACTTCCCTGGACGAACTCTTTTACAAGGACCTCTACTGCTAATAAGAGTCTCATATGTTTCAGGGTGGCTTTTGGTGATTCTCCGAGTGGCGCTGCAACTGTTACGGACAGGGGTTTCGCTTACAACTAGGCCCACAACTTGTTCGTCCCGTCACTTTAATAAAAAAACATACACGCGATTTAGATTAAAAAAATAGTCTCATTTCTAATTATAAATAAACAATTTATTTATTACCCAATGAACATGCCACCAGTTAATAAAAATATAGTTTCTTACATAATTATTCGGAGTTCATCATCAGTAACATTGGCAATTAATATAGATGACGGATTGGTAAAATCAGCCGACACACAGCGGGTCAACATGGTGAACTATGTCTTAAGTCTTTTCACTTTGAAACCAGAAATTACTATGTGACCCCAAATAGACATAATGCGAATATATAAATGTATATAAATAACTATGAATAAATCAGTAAACAGCGATTATCACTAGTTACAAGTTTGTTACCACGATATGACGTTTCTCAATATTGGCTAAACCTGTGACAATGGATTGTGAAACCGCTCTGAAATACGGAGTGAAGAACAAAAAGTCATACCGTGGTAAGAAATCTCTAACAAGTGAAATAAATCTAGAATTTTCCTGCTTCGAGACACGCGTGCTGGCCTCCGTAGTCACCATCACTAGCCGTATTCCATCGCAAACTAAAAGGTTTGGTGGTACCTTCCTCTGTCGCACAGTTGAGAAATCGAACTCCCTTCTAGGGCACGTATTCGAGTCGATATAGAGACCTTCAAACGAAGCGTGAAGAGGCATCTTGTAGGCATGCAGGGTGAAGGTGCACGAGCTTCCTTTACGTTTGGATTCCATTTTC